CAACCAGTCATGATGAAATCATTTTGTTGTAGTTCTGATTCGGAACTTTGTGCGTTATCTGTTTGGTTGCGAGAGATATTTGATATGTCAACTTTTCCAATATCTGCCCCATTGTTTACATTGATTATTTCTGAGCTACCTTTCTGTTGTATTAACCCAGTCTCCGGTGAATGTGGCCTTTTGTGCCCAGCTATTGATGGTATTGGGTCCCAACCTGTCATAATACAATCGTATTTCTGGGCTTCCTGATTTTCCGGTGATTTTGTGTTTGGATATTGTTCCGAATCACTTTCAGGAGAGTTGAGCTCAATTGGATCGCTTATGTCAGGGTTTGAGTTTATATCTGACTCCGATGGGTCCGGTTGCGGATTGATTAATGCCAAGGGATTGTGACTCATATGCTGCCAGGTTGATTGAGGCACCGGAAGGGTGGTTGGAGGCTGATCAACATAAGTTGTCATTCTTTTCAAGAGAAGGTAGCATCATAAATGTATTGGTAGCAGGCGGAGGTTTATTTGCAGGTATTGGGTCGTTATTTAGCTCAGATTGAGGTATGTTTCCTGGGTATTGACTCAGATATGGCGGTGATGCGTTTAATGGCAGATTGTTAGGATCTGATGTTGACGCATCTTAGTTGGGCAGTTTGTTGTGCGGCAATGAAGGACTTTGGTCTGTGCCTAATGTGGGTGTGATTGGTTGATTGTTGTTCCAGTAGTTTGTGGCTCTTTCCTTATTTATTTGGTCTAGTTCATCTCCCAATAGAACATCTTCATTAAATGTTGCGTGTGGAGTGAAACTGACAATCCACTTCCATCCTTTGGTTGGAGTTTTGTGTGGATAGAGTATGAGGAGGTTCTTGGAAGTGTTTACTTCGAAGCCTAGGAACCAACCTTTTTCTGTCCTTGGTTCGAATTTGCTTGGTTTAGGATTGATTAGTTTGTATGCTTGACAGCCAAATTGTGGTAGATTTCTGAGATCAATTTTATCCACGTGCAGTTGTTGTAGGCTTTGTAAGAAGTCGATGATAGGGATCTTTTTTGTTTGTAAGCAGTATAACCTATTGAGAATGAAGCATGCATGTTGCATCGCGTAAGACCAGTAACATGGAGGCATATTTGCATCTATAAGGATGGACCTCGTTACTCTGAGAACCACTTTGTTGGCAGCTTCTGATGCTCCATTCTGTTCTGGTGTGTAGGGAGCTGGCGTATGGGTACGTATTCCATGTTGTTCACAAAAGACTTTTGTCTTAGAGAATTCGGATCCTCCGTCTCTAAAGATAGTTCGCACTTGTTTGTCATAAATATGGTGCATGATGTTAACCCATTGCACTAATGATGAGGCAATTTGGTCTTTTGTTTGGCTGGTGAGTACCCAATGCATGCGAGTTTTCGCGTCAGTGATTATTACGGCGTACTGCTTTTCATCGACAGATGGGACTAGTTTACCTACGGTGTCCACAAATACTTCGTCCAATGGTCTCAGGGATGAGGGTTTGATAGTGTTCCACGGGGTGCGTTGTATAGCCTAGTGAAGATCTAGGTGGTAAATGAAGATTATAAATGGGTCAAAGGGATGACAGGTCTTCTCTAGGAAGAGATGAATGGGCAACTAGTTGCAGTAGGTGTTACACGTGGGTCTTGCTGATGAAGAACTGGGCAATGGATAAGTAGTCTTCCCGAAGAAGAGATGGGTAAACAAATGTATTGTAAATGGTAGATAAAGAAGAAGTTGCGTGAGGAGTAAATCTCTCTCACGCTGAACTATTATATACAAGAGTAGAAGCATTTGCCAGCCGGAATTAATCGTAATCAATTCTTGCCAATATCTTCGCATTGATGGCTGTGTTCTTGTCCTTCTCTTCATGACTCCCTTGTATATCCTTACATGACGTTTTAGATGATTAATTGTATAGGGGAAGCTATTATTAAATTGATGGTTTTAATTAACTACCCCTTTATCTTATCACGAATTAATATCAGTATTAAAATTCTATTTACGGATCCGTGAAAAATGGCTCATACAGTGTTGGCCTTGGGTCCCGCGACACATGTTGTTGAGCCTTGCTTAGATGGCATGTTTCGCATATTTTAAGATCACTTGTGTCAATGCCTTCAAGTCCTAAAGAGTGATCTTTTGTCTTCTTGAGAATGTTTTGTGCAATGTGTCCTAGTCTTTGATGCCAGCATTGCGCATTGCTGGTCTTCTGAATCCTCGTTACCCCAGGTGCTGCAATGGATTTGTCTTTGATGCGCTTGTCATGTAACAGGGGATGAATGTAGTAGACGTCGTTGTGGAGAATTAGTAGGGCAATGGGCACGTCACTCTGTTCATGATTATGTTTTACTAGGAGCATTTTGGCAAAGTCAGGGAACACCCCTGCTATTCTTTGTAGTCTACCTGCGGAGACAATACCAGAGGCCAATCTGGGTGAGTATAGGCAGTCATTTAAAATCAATTGTTGTTGCCCGATCTTTATAGTTGCGCTACCTCGTTCAGTTAGCAATGATCTGCCTACGGCTTGGTCAAATCGAAAGGTATTTTGTCGATTGTATATTTCAGCAAACACGGATCTATCAGGCAAAAAGTGGTGCGAAGCACCCGTGTCATAGATTATAGGTAGTTTATTGTATCTGGATGCTGATGCAGCTATTCCGCTTGATAATTTTTCGTCGCAAGGCTCGCTGAGCAGCGCTTCCATTTGACTCCTATAATACTCCTCATCTTCACTGTCGCTGGCCTCAGCAATTGCCTTCCCTTTTCCCAATCTTTCACCATATTTTTGGATATTCTCCTTCCATTTCTGCCCTTTCTGACCAGTTGCAAGTTCTGGATGTTGCTTGAAGCATTTTTTATTAGCATGTATATGCTTACATCTCTTGCACCTGGCGTCGGGATTTGGTGATGATTTGCCTATGATTGTTTGCAGCGACAGTGCGAAGTGATGACATCATTGACCTTAGGGATGTCGGTCTGTCTGAAGCATCAATGGCTCTGTCGTCTCTCCGGGAGCTTAACCAGGGGACATGTATAGTCCCGACTAAAAAGAATCCCGCAGCTGCGGCCTCAGAAATTGCCCATTCGGTTGGTTTGTCATCGGACATACTAAGGGCTTCAGCTGCGGTGATTATATTCTGGTAAGCAGTCTGGAATTCGTTGCAGTACCGCTCTATTGAGTCGGTGAACTTGACTGCTTGGAATTGTTGGAGCGCATCAATGTAGGCGGCCGAGGACGTTTCTCTTCCAGGCGAAGAGACGCTGCCGTACAGGGCCTTGGCGGAAAGTTTTATGTGGTCCCTGGGCCAGACTTTCTCGCTGAGACGGTCGAGGATTATATTCCTCGCCTCTGTCTCATGGCTCTTCCATGTCAAGACTGCTCTTTGGTGAGTCCTCCATATCTCCTCCCGGGCATCATTTGTTATTTGGTCTTCACGTTTTGGTTCGCTTGGTCGAAAGATGGGATCAATGTCGGGATCATCGTGGATGACGTGGCCGGTGAGGTCACGTTTGGCCAATTGTGCCCGAAGTGATGCGTCCCATCGGCTGAAAGAATCTGTTTTGCCGAGGATAACAAGTGAAGTGTTTTTGGACATGTTTAACTCTTGTGCAGAGGAAAACGCCGGGGTCATAACCTGTTGTGAATGATGAGCACTGGAGATATTCTTGGGATAGACTTAGAGACAGTTGTGATATAATGCTAAAGAACTGAGTTGTAGACTTTAGATGGGATTATTATTTGCTAAAGTATAATGGATAAAGTGTGTGATCTGTGTTGGACACTTTTGGTGGCAGTGCCTGACTACCTGTCTAAATACATGAGAAGTGTTGAGCGGATTGGTTTGCAAAAGCTTGTGGCTGTAGGCACAGATTGTATCACTTGGTGAAGCGAGTGGGAAAGTGAAGGAGTCTGTGAATCTGTCGTAGAGAGTTGTTAATTACTCCCACTAGGACACAGAGTGCTATATAAACTATATTTTGTATTAATAAAATCTAGTGGTTGGTATTTACATCAAAGCGCATTATTACTAACCTCACAATTAATGGGAGATTAGTGACGTGTCTTCTACACATCCCTGTCTTTACCATAATTGGAAGCACCAATTTCAACAAGAAGCTGGTCCGTGCACTGCTATCACTTCTCAACATCCTGATCCTCAACAGATCTCTACAACCACTACGTAGCTTACCTCAATTGTGTAGGCACAGCGACTATATTAATCCATGACCTAGACCATGCACGTCTCTACGTTATGTTAGCACGGACTAGGATTACAACAGACTTCCATTCTGTAATTGCTTGTACCTTGGTTGGATCCATCTTGATGCCAGTTCCTGCTTCTATCACATAGCCAAGATACTTAGTCTTTTTGGTCTCAAATTCGCACTTTGAGATATCTAAGTGTAAAAAATTTTCCTGTAGGCTTGTTAGTACCTTAGCTACCTTTTCTCTATGGTCTTGGAGTGTTTCCGAGGTGAATATGAGGATATCATCCATGTAAGCTGATCAGAAGTTGTCCAAAACTCTTTAAGGACCCAGTTTATATACCTCTGGAAGGTGGCAGGAGATCCAGTAAGTCCAAAAGGACAAACTTGTTGTAATCTAACACTTTTCATCCTCGGACTTCATGGCGAGCAGTAGTTGTATAGTACGTGATGCCATGCGGGGGCGAAGGAAGAGGGTGGAAAAAGCCGCTAGCCAGGTCTCAGCAATCTGGCACACTTGAAGATGGAAAAATCCTTTTTGTATATAGACAATACTGTTGAGATAGTACCGACAAATAACGGTCACAGTACCGAAGGTGCAAACCCACGCCTAGCACTGCAACATGCACATCTACTGCTCGCCACCAAGCTTCGGGCGTGGGAGCGCCCAGGTAAAAACTATACATGGAAGCAATCAGGGTAGCAACACCATAAGCCCCTAGAATATAAGTGCTAGCCGCAAGGGGTCGGGTACCACTCAGCGTATATGCAACAGCATCGAGTGTACAGGTGTATCTCGAGTGTCACTAAAGGAAACCAGTACAGTCGCCCCTGGATCAGCTATTCAGGGGCGCTCAACTAGGGTACTGAGCTGCGATTATAGGAGCAGTGATGCGACTGACAAGCGGAGGATATACGAGAGCTGCAGGAGCAGCAATGGCCGCTCATGAACCTTGGATTCATGAGCGTTGGATTGGTAGTGTGATTACTATGGATAGACAATCACGAGATGGAACTAAGACTATGACATGGTGTTGTACTTTCGCTTGTCAATGACCGGCTCTGCGCCAACAGGTGCATATGCACATCGTGCGTTGAGCATGGATACAACTGCTGCCGCTCCTGAGTCTCGGACTTGGGAGCACCTGGTTGAGTCATTGCAAGGCAACAATTGGGGTAGCGACGTGAAGGGTCTACTGACCACGTGCGCTAGCCATAAACAGTTAGATATTGCCGGACAATTACGGAATAGCGCCCTGAGGTATATGCAGACCTCGCATGCTACCGGAACCATACAGCTGCTTCCGCTCCTGAGTAGTGGACTCATGAGCGCCAGGCTGATTCATTGCAGGGCAATGATTGGGGCAGCGTCGTGATGAGTCTATTGATCACACATGCTAGCCATGAGCGGTTAGGTATCGCCGGGCAATTACGGGATAGCGCTCAGAGGTACATGCAGACCTAGCGCACTATTGGAACTATACAACTGCTTCCGCTCCCGAGTAATGGACTAAGGACTGCGGAGCTGAGACATTGTATGGGAACGATTGGAGCGACGCTGTGGTGTGTATACAAACCACAGGCGCGAGCCATGGACTGGATTGCTGTCGTTCCTGAACAGCTAGGTTCAGGATTGCTCAGCTGGGATATTACACGTAAGTGATTGTCACGGTTTCAGTACAAAATGCTTGGGCGATCTTGTAAGTACAGTATATTAATTATAATTCTCTAGAGAGAATTCCTATAGCTAGAATACAAATATATATACACTCTGAGATACTCCTCTTCTGTAAGGTTCTCCCTATATCTGGAATAACATGGAATCCTCGACAATACCCTAGAAGATTCTTGATACACCTGTGGTTCTCATGAACCTTCAGTATGCTTCCAGAAAGTTCATTGAGAATCTTCTAAGCTCCTTGTATTCCGAGATCCTTCCCGAAGATTCCCTTGCATTCATTGCCTGCGCTAGCCAGCGTAGGCTACAGGAATCCCTAGGCTTAACAGCCGTTACAGTGATTGAGGCATTGCAGCGACGCGTGCTCGGACCGTGCGCGCCAGCCATCGGAATAGCAGATGCCTCTCATGAGAGATGGACTCATGAGCTGCAGAGTTTTACCCAGGCACGCTGTTGGCAGTAAGTCAGGAGAGAGAGCGTAGACAATGACAAGGGTCATATTAGAGTATATAAGTAGTCTATGTTCTGTCTCATGTACATCATCGGAAAAGTATCAGACACCTGCCAGCAATCAAGTTACCAAGTATCAAACCATCTGAACAAACATTGTGACACATTCCAAGTAACTATGTTCCCAATTAACTCATAACCTTAACACATGGGTCATATAGATGTATTTAAGAAATCATATGTTCATACTTCTGACAGTATCGAAATCTGTCGAACACATCCTCTACATACTCCAATCAGACATAGCAAGTGACAAGTAACTATGTTCCTATACAACTCATAACCTTAACACTGTCACACACTGCACCTCCATATCATATTGTTAGGTTGTTGTTGTTCTTGATGATCTATGTGATCCTGTTGATATATTTTCCCTTTTTTTCCTCCTTTTTACACATCCCATTTCCATATTGACTTTCCTCATCAGGGCTTATGTAGGTATGTGGTGTGCTGAGGGTGGAGGTGGGTTGTAGACGTAGGGTTGAATGAGGAATGCTTAGTCATGAATATACAAGGAGTCTAGGCGATGTCGGTTGTTTGAATACTAACTCCACATAGCCCTAGATCCATTTGTGAATTGTATGTCAGTGGTGATGAGAATCTGTTCGACTTGCTTTCAATTTTGAAATCTTTGTCTTCTAATTTCCAACTAAAATACCGAGAATAAGTCCTTCAAGCCGACAATCCATGAGATATAATTCATTCCACCATTAGTCATGACTGAACTTCGACACCGAGAGGATATTTGTCAGGTAACTGGGAGCCTGACCTGTGACAGGCGAAGTGTATGTAATTAAAGTAAAAGATAACTCAGTAAAAACAACTTGATTTCTATTTCTCCCGGAATTCTAGGGCTATATACACTGATCATGATTGACTTGATCTCTTGATCTCTAAATATAGACATGCGCTAGAAATAGAATAACCTGCAGTTTTAAATACAGAATTGAAGCACTGACCGAAATAAATAACCCACGTATGTATGGACAGTCCCTATTTTTGACCTGAGACATTTCTTTGTCCAACTTCTTCGGTGGTTATTCTTAGCTGTTGACAATATTACACTCCCAAGCTCGCAGAGGATACCACTGATGGTTGATTTTTTGGCACAAGGCTTTAATTGAATGTATAAATATTTATCTATGACACAATTTTAGAGAAAAATACATGACAGATGACTCAAAAACTTACAGGTGCTCAGCCTTTGTCCTCCCGTCAAAGCTAGATAGCCGTAGCGTCTGGCGCAGCTCGATGAAACTATGAGCGTCTGATGCGTCCAATCCTATACCCTTCGAGCCAGCAATAATGGTGCAGTGGCATAGCTACAACTACAGGTCATTTCTCTAAGTAGTTGTTGCACTGAGCCATAGTAGAAGCATCTTGCAGTTAGAATGAAGGGAATTAGCCGGAGACAAGATGACCTAATATACAAATTGATTAACAAAAAAGCAAATTGTGTCAGTTGCCAAAAGCACTGTCAATATCGGAGTAATAGAATTACCAAAAGAACTCCACTCGATGGAGCAGGTCCAAAAGCGTCGAACAGCACAAATGATAGTCGGACAATCAGTCTGCTAAACTGCGACAAGTAATGGAGCAACACTTTAAATACTCTAGATGGGTGACAGCAAACAAGTTGAAGACGCTTTCCATGTCCGTCCGTGGGCGGTAATATTCAAGGTCATCAATGCTATCCCCCCCACTGAGCGAATCTTTCTCGAGAGCTACTTGGCACAGGAGTCTCCATCTTCTAGCTGCAGAGAAAAGCTGGGCTTCGCTGGCTCAGAATGGAATGCGCCAAGTTGCAGTCCTCTTATTCACATCTGTAGTACCCACTGCATCTCATTGACCAATGAACGACAGTCCCAAGGCGAAAGTCGATAATCGACCCCTCCTCTGCCAGGACGCCAATTGTGAAAGACTGTTACGAGAAAGATCCGTGAGGTGGATAATGGTGCATCCAGTACTTAGTTAGGCAGCTGAGACGTGGAATAATTGAGGAAGCAGGCCTCAAGTTGGCATACTGGGACTGACAATTTTAAGGTATTTTATGGACGCCAATACCGAGGTCTCGACTTTTTAGCCAGGAGGACTTCATTATCAATGATTCTACGGTACGGAAATAGTTAGGCTAGTCTACATCACAGCAATCAAGCTCTGTTAAGACTTCTCTGACGATTCATCATGGCCTTCGGGAAAGGGTTAGAAGGAGGCTAGAAAGATAGTGTGCGAAGTTCCCGAGGAATAAATAAGTCTACAGTACCCGGCTGGTCAGCCTCTTCGAACGCTTCAGAAGGGTCGCTATGTCTTTAGATCTAGTCCTCATATCGGTATTAGAAGAGCTCTGTAGTGTTACAGGCTGCGCCTATCTCCTAGTGACTGTCGCACGGACACTTATCATTATTACGTCATTAGCCTTGCTATCTAAAGAGATGTCCAACTTGGCCATACAAATACAGGGTTGCAACAAATATGGAAACAAGATATTGTTGCAGCAAGTCTCATATGGAATCATGGGCCGATACGTCCCAGTTTCGCTATGACGAGCCCACTCGGAATATCAAGGATATGGTGTAGTAGAATAGATAGTGAGGTTAGCGCATTGGGAGTTGGGACACCTTAAGTAGCCACCCCTCGGTGGACAGTTCCGAGATGTATGTAGAAAAGAGACAGTAATTGGCCACCATTCCTTTACTATATTGTTTTGTTGATCGCCCATCACATGTAGCCAGTAGCTTTTGCAATGGTTCCCAGCCATCATACACCGGCAAACAGCCATCATTTGCATAGCTGAAAGGCTGGGAAATCTAGGGCAACAGGCTCTCAAATTGTACGTTAAAATAAGAGCTCGTGGGGCATGGTATTGTCTGAGGGTAGCTGTTGTTGAGTTATAGGATATAACACACTACTTGAATGGGTATCCCTGGCTATTATGATTGGTATATGATTTGGGAATGTACATTTGCGCTGGAACAGCTAAGATAGTATGTGGAGAGATGTCTTCATTAATGTGCAGAAGTGAAGTGACTATGATAATTATGTTACAGGTTGGGGAAAGCTCGTCCCTTATCCCCTAGCTTGTTTCCCTGTAGACCAATCACGTTACCAGTATGCAGCTCACCAAATTGTGCAACCAACTGAGCAGCCATGCCATTTATCTTATATCAACAACCCATCTCTCGTAATGCACGCATTACTACATGTACAGTCGTTTTGCAGAGACTGGATCTCCTTCATGTGCCATGATGCCATGCTGCCATAATAACTATCCATGCACCAGCTACTAGATCTACCATCCTACATAGCTGAGCATAACATAGGGGACACCACTGACAGCTGTTTAGAGTAGTCCCTTGAAACCCTTGCTTCCTGGCGCACACTAGCATTATAACATTACGTGAGTTGTCAAAGTGTCAAAATGATTTTTCATTGTATGAAGTTGTTGAGGAGGGATTTGACTCCTTCACATCACTAATAGATATTCATTTATTCATCAGAGAACTTCATTGTTTAGTTAACATATACATCATAGCTCCTGTTACGGTTTATTTTACTATAGGTTTCTCTAAGACGGTGATGGTACTGCAGGGAATAGACCTGGAATGTGCGGTGTTAGTGTCTTGGCATGTAGATATTTTTCTATAGGAGATATATGTTGAAAACAGGGAACAGAATAGACAATCAGTCGATTATTTTCACAGGCTTATACCTGGTTATCATTAGGCTGCTGCCTAACAAATAAGGCTTGAACTCTTCCAACCATATTAAACATCATACATGTCATGAACCCCTCCACGGCTCATTAGACCCAAGTATAGGCTTTGGCCCAGTTCATGCAAATCTATTCTTAAATGTCAAATTTGGATTG